CACCCGGAAGCACTTTCTCGTCAAACAAGATGGCGGCACCCAGCAAATCAGCAGCCCAGCAGGAAATGTTCCATGGACCGGTACCGGTCCGCGGCCCGGTGGTTGGGGATGCCTGATCTAGATTGAGTCGTATCTTGGCAGATAGGATTGTTTGCAACCTTAATAAAGGCCAGTTGCTCAATTTTACTTAGTTGACTTCAGGCCATTCACACACTCTCAGTCCAACTCTGAGCAAAATAGGAGAAGGAAGGAGTATTAGATGCCACATTGAGTTATTTATTTAAAAAAATAAGGTGGCATTTGAAAATATCTAATCTAATAATTTCCTAATCTCAGAATTATTTTTTAAGACTTTTGAAAATGCAGCATTAAAAAAATTACTCAGACTGCTCTTGTGCTATTTGGCACAGATGTACTGAGGCCCAGATGTACTGAGAACTAGAAGAGATGCCTGCAAGTGAGGCAAAAAAGGCAAAATAATGGCAGTGACTTTGCAATCAAATTCCTGCCCTTTTTTTATGTCCCTGGAAGCCAGCTATATTCAGAGACCTCAACCATTCCTTCCTCTTGACAACTGAGTGGGAAAAACTAGTCATTTGAGTCATTCTAGCTCCCTGAACACCTTTGGAGAATGTTAGGAATGTTATCAGTTTCCACTTGACTTAAGTGATAATTGCTTCAGGGTAGGCACAATACTCTTCTGGCAGTTGGAAGGGACCCAACAGAAGATAGTCAATCAGCAATAGCTTAGTATGCTATGCAAGGCCAGCTTTTGAAGTTAGTTAATGCTTCACTGTCCTATGAATTCTCCAGACTAGATTAACTGAATAAACCATACTTAGCTTAACCACAGTCGATGTCGATTGAACAATGCTCAATAAAATGTTTCGTTGTGCAGATGGCAGCGGAATCGGAGAGAGGGGAAGAACGGGGACCAGTCTGGAAGGCTGGAGAGGATTCGGACAAGAGTCCTGTGTCCAATGTAGAGATGGGGCCAGGACCATCTGGGAGTGGTGTACTGACTCCGGAGCCTCCAGAGTCTGGCAGCAGCAATTCAAAGGAAAGAAAGGTGGGTGCTTATCTCGAAGGGACTCATTACCAGCTGGGAATGAACATAATTCCCAGGGTTAAAATAAAACAAGAGTTGTTTTAATGAAGCGTGTGCTTAATTACAGTCTCAGAAGCCTTGGTCAGAACAAGATTGGGGCTAATTTTCAATGCTGAGGAGATCTGTGTTATTACTTAGTTTAAAAGCTGGACATAACCTATTTAAACCTCATGCTGCCCACAGTGCTCTAAACACAGGTAAAATCCTAGAATATCTATGCATTCCAAGCTTGGTTATTGTAAACCTTATTCGTTGTTTAGTGTGTTGTACAAATCCAACTTGTTCAGTTAGTTTATTGTTACTATTATTAAACAAACACAGAAAATAGGCTAATTCGGTCAGCGGGCTGTGTGGATGTGTTGTGAAGGAAGCAACCACTAGATCACAAAACTGCCAGCCATATTTATGGTCTTTTAAAGTTGCCACCATGTATGTTGTGCAAACCCAAAAAAGTACATGGAGTATGTCATGGTGTAATGAACCATGATGTGTACCTTGTGCAATCCCTGCCATTTTTCAGTGTGTGTTATATTTGTTACTAAGTGAGCTACCACCTGGGGAGCTTTCAGAGACCTGAACCGTTGATCCGCGTGTCAATATTTGATTATGCCAATTGAGTTGTTCTTACAAAAAGTACATTCGCTGCAATTACATTTATGAAAGCACTTAAGGGGAAGATTCTTTTAAAACAGAAGGGTATATATTTACTTTTTTTAAAAAAAGTATAGTTAGGAACTGCCAGCGGTCATTCTGCTTGGAAAGTTAATATTAAACTATCATGTCAGAACTTTCAACTGTACCTTGATTTCACTCCTAAAGCAGCCCTGTCTCTACCTCCAAGCAGTGTTTTTTGAAAGTGAAGTACATTTTGAAACATGTTTTGGAAAGTAGGTTTTGTTGTCCCCTCCCTCCCCCCCAAAACCCCACAACAGACAAGCCTTTAGAGCAGTGTTTCTTAACTTGGGCGATTTTAATATGCGTGGCCTTCAATTCCAAGAATTGCCCTGCTGGTTGGGGAATTATGGGAGTTGATGTCCACACAACTTAAAGTTGCTCTCGTTGACAAACACTGGTTAAGTTAAAGTCAGGACAGTCAAAGTAGAAATTTTGAAAACAAGAAGCAGAAAAGCACTAAGCAGCTGAAACATGTTAACTGTAGTTAAACGTTTTACTGATTGAACTAAATTAATTAAACTTTTCCAGCCTAATCAAGAGAGGAACTGCAAGTTATAGCCAATTTTACCAACATTCCAGCTTGCAAGTTTTCTCGAGGCTGTCAAATTTTCATGCAAAGCATAAACAATTACAAAATTATACAACTGAAAAATACCATTTGGAGCACTGACAAAAGTACAATTATGTCTCTTTCCATCTTCCCAAGGCTAAGTATTTGCAAATCTTTCAACTTGTCTTCATGGGATATGGTGTCTTGTTCTTCTTGGAACGTATCTAGTGGAGATGACTAGATCCCGCAGCAAGATCCATTTCTCAAGAACGGACCTGGACAATGCAGCATATAGTGGGTTCATTCCTTCCTGAAATCCAGAAATGATACATTTGTTGACACACCTTAAAACTACATTGCAATACAAGGTTCCTCACCTGTTGCCCTCCAGCGATTCTGGATTATAGTATTATTCCCATAGGGAAATTGCTGAATTATGGGAATTGTGGTGCAATACATGGTGAGTTGTTAAATTTGGAAAAACCTCTCCTTACCAGAAAAATAATAACACAATATTAACATCAGGAACTCATGCCTAGAAGCAGATTTAACAAATAATCAGAGTTGGAAGGGACCTTGTAGGTCATCTTGTCCAACCCCCCACCCAAGCAGGAGACCGTGCACCATTTCTGACAAATGGCAGTCCCATCTCTTCTTGAAAGTCTGAAGTGATGGCGCTCCCACAACTTCCAAGGGCAACTTCTGTTCCATTGGTTGATTGTTCTCACTGTCAGAAAGTTTCTCCTTGTTTCCAGGGTAAATCTCTCCTTGTTCAGTTTCCATCCATTATTCCTTGTCTGGCCTACTGGTGCTTTAGAAAATAGATTGACCCCTTCCTTCCTGTGGCAGCCCCTCAAATATTGGAAGACTGCTATCATGTCTCCCCTGGTCTTTCTCTTCACTAGACTAGCCAAGCCCAGTTCCTGTAACCGTTCGTTGTATGTTTTAGCCTCCAGTCCCCTAATCATCCTGGTTGCTCTTCTCTGTACTTTTTCTAGAGTCAACTCTAGAGCAACTGTTTTCTCCTAGATCTTTGGCCATTGCTAGTCATTATAATGCGTAGATGATATATACAGCTGAACATGCTAATAACATCTGATTCACACATCATGCTATCACATTACTAATTTAAACATTAATCCAAAGTGGTTTTTATGGTTACCTGGAGTTTATACAACACCAAACCAGCTCCTTTATGGCCTAGCAAAAGGTAAGAACCCAGCCCCTCTTTTTGATTGGGCGGGGGGGGGGAATACATCTGCAATTTTAGAACATAGTATGAACATTAACGCAAAAGGGTTGGTGTCTTTTTGATTGGGGATGCGGTATTCCTCCCATTTATGAAAGGGCTGCCAGGACAAGGCACCCATTTCCAAAAGAACTGCCATATTTATTCAATTTATTTGCTGCCTTTCTCACTTGAGGGGCTGCTGTAGGCAGCTTATGGAGCTGAGAGGCATTCTTGGAAATAATGACAGTGCTTCACACGTTAAAAACAAACCATGTTTGAAATCTAAACCAAGAGAGTCAGGGAACTTTCTGGATAGCAAAATTATGTCTTCAGGGGCTATGGTGTTTCCTGGGTGCTATGTTGGGGGCTAGGGAGAAGATTACAGCTTAGACACTGCCAGTCCTGGAACCCCATTTCTCCAATGGCACTGAGTGTTGGGGTTTATTCAGTGCCTTCAGCGCAGGCAATGATGTATTAACCATTAAGCAGACTAAGAACATGCTTAGGGCAGCAGGCCCAAAGGGGGCACCACAAAGTTGAGAAAGAAAGAAAAAAAACCCCAATGAAGATTTGTAAAAAAAATCTTGTCTGTACAAAGGAGGGGGACACCAAGATTTGTCAGTGCTTAGGGCACCAGTCAGCCTTAATCCGCCACTAAGCGCAGGCTGCTGTGTTGTGAGAGAAAATCTATTTTTGGGTACCAAAATGATCAATGGAATCTCCCTCGAGGGGAAACATACAGCAGGAGAAAAGAGAAGAACAACAGGAGAAAAGAGAAGAACAAAAGAGATCTCCCCTTTCTCCCTTCAGCCAAGACTATCCCGAGTTGAAGCCTCCTCATCTCTGACTTGGGACCCTGTGCACAGCAGGGAAGATGCTTCGCTTTGGGCACCCAAAGATAACAGATAATCAGAGTTGGAAGGGACCTTGGAGGTCATCTAGTCCACCCCCACCCACCCCCAAGCAGGAGACCCGACACCATTTCTGACAAATGGCAGTCCAAGCTCTTCTTGCAAGTCTCAAGTGATGGCGCTCCCACAACTTCCATGGGCAACTTCTGTTCCATTGGTTGATTGTTCTCACTGTCAGAAAGTTTCTCCTTATTCCCAGGTTAAATCTCTCCTTATTTTTTTCAAGAGGCAATTGGACTTTGTGTGTTTTCCCCCCCACCTCTTGAAGACGTTTCCTTTCTCATCCAAGAAGCTTCTTCAGCTCCGAAGCGTCTTGGATGAGAAGGGAAACGTCTTCAAGGAAAAAATAACCAGAAGGTCCAGTCGCCTCTCGGAGGAAAAAATAAAAATAAAAGCACCTTTGGGACAACCCTGACTGAGAAGCTCCATATACCTTCGGTTTGGGGAGTTGCTGCTCTTCCTCGCCCCAGACTTTGGGTTTCTTGGAGATGTCGCGCGAGAGTTGCCGAACTTTGAACCGTATCCAAACTCAGGAGACAAACAACTCGAGGGGTATAAATACCAGTCAGCTGAGGAGGGTGAACGAGAGGCTTGCGAGTGGGGAAGTTTCTCCCGAGCTGCGCGGTGAGTTTTATTGTGCGCTCTTGGAAATGTTCGTGGAAGTTGCAGAAGGGGATTTTGAAGGTCCATTAGGAGCCGGGAAGGGGAAAGGGGGGCTTTGCATTAAAAAAAAAAAAGACCCACTATTTTCCTCCTCTTAAGACGCCGAGATCCACGCGCGCGCGTGTAAAAATACGGTTTGGATTGAATGCACGTCCGTGAAAACGCGCCTAGGAAGCTTGGTTGGTTCAAGCGATGAAAGCGGGGACTGGGGATCGTTGGAGTGGCGGTGGGGGGTCGTTTGAAACATAGAATCCAAGTCCCCCCCCCAAAAAAAAATTCTCTAGCGAGGTTGCACGTAACACAAAGTTAGTACTTTGGGATGCGAGGCTGCTCATTTTAATTTCACTCGGCAATAAACCTGCTGAGCTCTGCGTGGCTGGCTCCCTCGTTCGTATATAGAAAGGGCTGCAGCCTTTTCTTTTTTTACACGAAGTACGATTCCGATTGTGCACTTGTACAAGCTCCGATGACACATTTCTGTAATACTGCCCTGTTCCTCTGTCAGATGCCTATTCCCAGCTTAGATGTACGATCTGTAAGAGAATACTTGCTTTGTACCGTATATGCAAGTACAACTTTTCATGAAGTCATGTTCTGATTAGAATTGCCAGACGCCTACACCGAAACGGAGAATGGCAATTCATTAAATACTGTGTAGATGGGCAAGATTGCATTGTCACTCATAGTACAATGTTAGTCTGTGGAAGCCTTTTATATATATAGTCTTATAAGCACCTTTTCAGACAAAAGTTGTTAGACTAAACTGATGCTACTAGACACCTTTTGATTTCTGGGTAGCTTTGTAGTAGATCAGAATTTAATCAAACCCATTGCATTCTTTGCATTGCATTCTGCAATGCAAAGTGCAACTCTGTAGTGATTTCTGAGTAAACAGATTCATAGTGAAGCTTTCTGTCTCTTATGTTTTCAGTTTTCATTTGCCCCAAACAACATGTCACTTTGCATAATTTCTAGTAACCAAGAAATGTGAAATATTTCAAGTTATGTATGAATAGATTGAAGAAGAAAAAATACTTTTCATAGGTTTCAAACATATTCTTCCAATGGTAGACATCGTTGAGTAGAAAAAATATTTTAAAATGAAAATGCTTGGACTCTTTGATTGAGTAGATTTTTTTTTATCCTGCGTTTATTACTTTATAAGTAACTCAAGGCAGCAAACGTATATAATACTCCTTCCTCCTCCTGTTTTCCCCACAACAACCCTGTTGAGGTAGGATTGGGCTGACCTGGCTTCCATGCCTCAGATCTGTAAGAGAATACTTGCTTTGTACCGTATATGCAAGTACAACTTTTCATGAAGTCATGTTCTGATTAGAATTGCCAGACGCCTACACCGAAACGGAGAATGGCAATTCAGGAAGCAGAATCTCCTGGTTTTCTAGACCAACATTTTAATCACTACACCAAGTTGGCTTGGCAAATTAATTCTTTTATGTGCTGTAGCTTTAATTTGTACCAAACAATTTTAGAGAAGAGATGCCCCATGTTTTCAGAATCTGTTGGCATTGCTATTCTGAAAGAGTCAGGGCAGGCTGTGTGATACCTTATACAGGTGATCCTCAATGTATGGCCACAATTGAGCCCAAAATTTCTGTTGTTAAATGAGACATTTGTTAAGTAAGTTTTACATTTTACATCTTTTTTTGCCATGGTTGTTAAGTGAATCACTGCAGTTGAAAAGTTAGTAACCCGGTTGTTAAGTGAATCTGGCTTCTGCATTGATTTTGTTTGCCAAAAGGCTACAAAAGGGGAATCATATGATCCTGGGACACAGCAACGGTCATAAGTATGAACCAGTTGACAAGCCTCTGTATTTTGTCCATATGATTTGCTACAAAGGTCATAACTGAAAAACGACCATAAGTCATATTTTTCAGTGCCGTTGTAAATTTGAACTGTTGCAAGTCAAGGACAACCTGTGTAGTCTTTAGTTTTCTTCCTTAACCTGTTTCTCTGCTTTGCAGGCCACGTCCAGCCATGTGGGCTGGGCTAGGACTAGCCCTGGTCCTCTGTCTCCTCCCAGGAGGAGGAACAGAGCATCAGGGTCGTTGTAAAGAACCTCCAGGATGGCGAATCGGGGTAGAATATCCCATGATAAAGTCAAGAGGGACAGTGACAGTGGTTGCTCTGCTCCAGGCTAGCTGATACCTGTGCCTTTTGCAGGCTTCCAGGTAAGAACCACCGAAATATGCAGTTGCACATGAATGTACATCCCGTTGGGGGTCTGTTTCTTAAAGCAAGAGAAGTTTTTATTCAGCTTTGGGTGGGGAGAGAAAAAAAGTTAACATTTCTGGCACAATAGCTTTTGCTTGATTGCCAAAATTACTGCTTTATAGTTATTTTTGGCCTGAAACTGGCATTCTGGCTTTGTTGAACAACCCCATGGGACAATTTGTAAGAACAAAACACCCTGATGGCATAGTGGTTGGAATGCAGTATTGCAGGCTAATTCTGCTGACTGTCGACAGCCAGTAGATTGGCAGTTCAATTCTCACCGGCTCACAGTTGACTCAGCCTTCCATCCTTCCGAGATTGGTAAAATGAGGACCCAGATTGTTTGGGGGCAATAGGCTGACTCTGTAAACTGCTTAAGAGAGGCCTGGAAAATACTGTGAAGTGCTAAATAAATTTAAACGCTATGGCTATTGCTATTGCCTTCTTCAGTAACATTGTCTCTTCATTTTTGAATTTAATCCCAAAATCGTTTTTCTGAAAAATTAGTGACTGTCCACCCAATTGCATATGACATGTTTCTTCGGAATTGTTCCCAGGCTAACAGATTGGTTTAGTTTATTTTTGATCCAGGTGTATTAAAGCTGCTGTGACTTTTCAAATCTATTTGTAATGTTTGATTGTATAGTAGGACTCCTAATTCTGTAGTATCAACTTAGATAATGGTAGATAACATGTCCCACCCCCAGTGGTGGGATTCAAAAGTTTTTAATGCCGGTTCTGTGGGCATGGCTTGGTGGGCGTGGCAGGGGAAAGTAAAATGGTAAGAGGTGGTATTTGACAGTTTTCCGAACTATTCAAAATTTCTACTACCGGTTCTCCAGAACTGGTCAAAACCTGCTGAGTACCACCTCTGCCCACGCCCAAGCAAATTCTGCTTTTCTAAAGGGAAAAAAATGAATGCATAAAATGTTATTTACTTATTAGACTTGAAGACCTGCAACTGAAGCTGGGAAATAGTGGACTGGTCAATATCACCTTCATTGTGGTCAATCACCAAGGACACCAATCCCAGCTGAAGTACCAACTTCTAAGAGAAAAAGTTTCAGAAGACATTCCTGTATACCAACAGAATGCAACTCAACCTGATATCTGGGCTACTTTAAAAGGCAAAAAAGATGATTTCCTGATTTACGACAGGTACTTCATATTTTGAAAGCACATGAGGCTTATTTGGATCAGATGGCATCCTAGAGTTTTGCATAAGAGGCTCTGTGCCACTATCTGCACAACACATTCAGAGTACATAAAAGTGGTTTTCTCCATTCATTTGGCCGAGTAGGTTCACAGAAAATGTGAGTGGTTGGCTACTTCAGTGTGATATGTGTTTGGTTTAGTGATTAAAGCATCGAGCTAGAAACTGGAAGATCATGTGTTCTAATCCTATCTTGGGCATTAATAATTTGGGTGACCTTAGGCCAGTCACTTTCTCTTAGCCTTAGGTGGGATGGCAAACTCCTTCCAAAAACTTGCTAAAAAAACCTGCAAGAACTTGTCCGGGCAGTTCCCAGAGTCAACATTGTCTCGAAGGCACCAAAAACCCAAACCATTACAAATAGTTTATTTTTCCCCGAAAGTGGTTTCTCTGTATCAATTTATGCTATTTAAATGAATGAACTTCCTTACAAGTATTTGTGGCCCTTGCATACAAGTTTTCACTTTACATTTTCTTTCCCGTGGTTTTGCTGCTTTTCCAACTAATGGGATTTTTTGCAGGGAGAATACATACTTTCATATGAGCCCTTCCTGTTAATGGGTTTTATCAGGTCCGTCTTAATGGGGTTTATCACTGTTTTGCTTTCAGAAGGGTAGGAAAGTTCAGGTGGAGACAATTCGTTCAAAACAGATAGTAGAAGACAAAGGATTAAGAATTAGCGTAATCATGCTATCACAACAGTCCTAGTGTGACCCTAATCCACAATTTCCCTATAATATGTGAACAATGGATTTTGGGAATCGCAGCAGAAGACAAGGAACTTAAGATGCAAAAAAGTTTTTTTTTTTAGTTTTGTAAAACTTTTCTTCATAAATATGGTGATGCATTGATATTAAGAACTGGGTTACTTTCTTCCTAGGTGTGGTCGTCTTGTTTATCACCTTGGCTTACCTTATACTTTCCTGAGTTTTCCATATGTAGAGAAAGCTATTCAGATCGCCTATTGTGAAGACACTTGTGGAAATTGCTCATACACAGTATGTATTCATTTTTTCCTTTCCTTGTTGTATCTAGGAAAAAGAAATGCTGATTAAATTAAAATTTAAAAATGTACAGAACCTATGACCACTGATTTCATTTTTGTAATTTCTAAGAATTGTATTACTTCTTAGCAAATAATTACAAACTTTTCAAGTGTTTTTTATTCCAAAACAAAATAGATTGCTAGCTTTCTTCAAGAAAAAATAGAGAAAGATATATAACCAATGATATATTTAATTATGATTTATTAAGTCACAGTGACTGAGTCAACAAAAGGAAGACTGAGGGGAGACATGATAGCGGTCTTCCAATACTTGAAGGGCTGTCACAGGAAAGAGGGTGTCAATTCATTCCTGAGAGTAATCTGGTGGTAGGATAAGAAGCAAAGGATAGACGTTCATCAGGGGGAGATCCAACTGGAAATTAGGAAGAAATTCCCGATGGTCAGAACTATTAAGCAGTGGAACAGTTTGTCTCCTGGAATTATGGGTGCTCCACTGCTGGAAATTTTCAAGAAAAGAATGGGCAACCATTTATCTGAGATGGTATGAAGACTCCTACCTTGGGCAGAGAGTTCTACTAGAAAACCTCCAAGTTCCTTTGCAACCATATGATTCCAGGAGTTCACATAACATGCTAAGCTCAAATTCAGTTAGTATAATATATGAAGCCAGGTAAGGTACTGTATATCTGTATAGATCTCATTCTATATCTGCATAGATATATCTATATCATTCTTATATCTCATGTTTCACCATGGAGGCATTTACTCTCCAGTTGCTTAATTTAGAAAAAAATACATTCCTATAAATGCAGACCCATGAGCATTTCCCCAACTGCAAAATGATTGGATTGCCACTCCACATCCAAACTGCCATTAAACTCAGTGCTGTTCATGCATAACAGTGATGGCTAACCTTTTTGGCATCAAACTGAGTGTGCGCGCATCCCCCAAATGCAATGCATATGTGCACCCTGCACATGCACCTTGCCCCCCATGCAAGCACGCATGGCCTCCCCCCATGCATGGGCATGCAACCCCCCCACAACCCTGCACATGTGTGCACAACCCCGTGACCCCCACACATGCACGGATGACCCCCTGCATGTGCACTCATGCCATAGGTTCGCCATCACAGATGTGTAAAATTCAGATCTTTGTAATTAAGTAGCATTCTATACATTGTTTTTAATTCCTTGAGAAGGAAGCAAAGTAACCAAGTAAATAACCAACATCAAATGGAACTAGGACCCTCCAGCTTTTGTATGGTCAGAAAATTATAACAAGCTGGGTATTTTCTAAAGTCAGTCTCATGCTGATCTAAGCATAAGGCACTTTAGAAATGACTTGGAAAAGAATAGTCATGAGAGAAGCTGAACACATTGATTGTCATTTTAGGCTGAAATCCTCGGCTTAGTTACATTATTTTCTGTAAACTGATTTCCGCTTATATTTTGTGTTGACGTACTACTGTATGAGAACGGTTGAAATTCTGACCATGTTGTCTGAACTTTTTCAGACACCTGAAATTGAAGAAATATGTAAAAGAATCTCAGAGAATTCAGAAGAAAAGCAAATCATGGCAGCTTCTGCCTCACCGTTGTCTCCCACTGAGCATCACCACCATCATCACCCTCATCATCATCAACATCATCATCCCCATCATCATCATCATGGACATCATCCCAAAGGGGATCGGCCAGAAGTAAACAATCAGCATAACAGCAGTGTCTTGGGCCTGGATCCTGCCAAAGCTGCCCATCAATCGGCAGCTGTAGCTTTGCAAGGGGACAGGCTCTGAGAAAGGGGGAGTGGCATCTGCAAGCGCCATTTAAGCTGAAACTGGCAGCTCTTGACAGGTCCCATCTCCAGTAGCTGATGCTGACACTGACGACACCTGTTGTTTGAAGATCAGCAAAGCACAAGTTCCTGACATTGTCGTGGAGAGCTCCCATCTTCCTGAAGGTGACAAGGGCAGCTGTTGGCAGACAACGTGGCTGAGTCTTGACAGTGACGTCTGCCAACAGCTGCTTGACTGTCACCAGCAGCAAGAAGGGGTGAAACCTGACAATGAGCAGGGCTGGACAACTGAGCTTGAGGAACAATCTAAACACCTATGGAAGACTTTGGAATGCATTCCATAATCATTTGAAATTGGTCCTACTATCTCTGCCAAAGTGTTTGGAAACCCTTGCCATAGGTGACTGAAGGGCATCAAATCAGAGGAATGCATTCCAGCCGTAATCTTCCTGGCACACATACCATTATGTAAATTATTGGGAAAGAAAGAAAAACAACCTTTACACCTGCCAGTTAAGCAAGAGTTCTTGGATTTTGGCTGTATTTGTTCAGGTGTAGTCATGTGCTGCGGTTTCACTGATACAGAATACAGTCCTTGTCATCCGACTTTGCCTTGAACAGTTAGAACAAAACTTTCCCATAACGGTATGGAGTTGTTTCTCAATGCCAGTTCCAAGTGTCTGTGGTGTTCGTTAGCTTTCCTTTTTGGTTTCCTCTTCTACCATTCTGTTTGCATTCATGAAAACAGGAGCAGAAACTATGACCTAGGGGCTTCTGTTTGATACGGAGTAAATAAGAACAGGAGAGGATAAGAAAAGATTTGCTAACTATGTTTTACAATTATAAGTTAAGACCAAGTGAATAGATGAAAGTGTTCTTCTATGAAACTCTAAAGCCATTTAAGATAATTGTATAGAATTCTGTGCGTAGTATTCCAACCAGATATTTTCACCAAGAAGTCTACAAAATTCACTACTTTAACATCAGATTTTATGTTATAAAGTGTGACCTATTAAAATCAATTTCTGTGTTTCTGAGACTGTTCACTATGATAGTTCATTTGGAATTTGGGATAACAGTCTTTAAAAACATGAAGTGAGACTGATGGGATGGGATGAAACAGTAATTTCATTGAAGGATAAGCATACGTATCTGGTAATAAAATGTAAGACCTACACTTAATCATTATTTCTGCTAACCAGTGATTTGGACAATCTTTTGTAAGTGATGAAGCATGTTTATATAACATCTATCTTTATGTAGCAAAATAGTATAGTTTCTGAAATTTCTGAAATTAACTGAATTTTTGCAAGTTCTAGAGAGGAAGAAAATGTTGAACAGAGGATTCTTTAGATTGTGTTTGCCATAGTTCATGATGGTTTGGTAGGGAAATCGTACCCCTATAAAACCTGAATTATTTTATGGTGAATGCTTACAAGAGGGAAAGTAGTTAAGTACACACAACTGAAGATCTTGCAGATGGACAAACTATGTTTTAATAAATGAAAATATCTTTGAATTCAATGTGTGTCTCCCATTCAGTTCTTTCTCCAAAGTAAAACTTGTGGTTTCATGTTCTCAAAATTGCTGCTGTTTAAAATAGCAATTTTTACGTTTGTCGAGCTTTTCTTCTAAGCCTTTGATAGTATTTCGAAGAAATTCAATTTCTTTATTCTTTTCTTCTTGAAGATGCTGGAGCTTCTACAAAAACAAACAAATAAATAAATTATACCCTCTTATACCTATATATGAAAAAGTGTGTATGTGTATTCATATGTCCAGAAATGTATACACATACACAAATTTAGATGCTTCAGAGATATTGATGTGTTTCATGACTTAGTTTCTAGGAATCTGAAATATTTATGCTGTCATAGACCAACAAATAAAACAAGAAAAACATTATTCTAAAATATTTATTATAAATTATTCTAAAATATTTAAGGATTAGATCAGACAATACAACATACTGTATTGTATTATAGAACAATACTTAGTTATGGTCAAAGAAGTCAAATCAAATTGATCTGATAATAACTAAAATAAAACAAGTCAAAACAACCAGGCTGTTTATTAAAGCATGGGAATCATGATTCCTGGTGAGTATCTACATAGAGGGAATAATGCAAAATATGTTATATCATTTCAATTATTCAATATTTTTCCAACTCAATATACTTCTCTAAATACTTAAAGACAACTCAAATCAGTGGCACTGCCAGATAAAAACAATAAAGGGCGTTTCTCCATAGCCCTGGCATTTAAAACATTCTATAGTTATTACAAGAGGGACAACTGCTAAATCCACTCATCACTAAACCTGCTCCCTTCAGGTGGCCAATGAGTAAGCACAAAAAGGTCCATCCCAGTCAGTGGCTGTGTCTCCATTTTGCTTTATTTTATTTTTTATTTATTTCTTTGATTTATCAATAGCTTATAAGATAATAGGTATAAATATAAACATAGTTATGAATACATGAAATGGATACATATAAGAAAAAAAAAGAAACAATAGGACAGGGACGGTAGGCACGTTGGTGCACTTATGCATGCCCCCTGCAGGCCTCTTAGGAAAGGGGTGAGGTCAATAAAACTAAATAAATAACTAAATAACTAAATAAAAACCCTTTACCGGGTTTGGTTTCTGTGGCAGGAGAAGATGGGGACTGTAACACCCAGCTGGTTGCTGTGCCTCTCAAATCAACTGGGAATGAGAAGGAGATGGTAACAAAGCACCTTGAAGCCTTGCTATAAGTAAGTAATGGGGAGGAAAGGGAGGCAAGCAGTTTAAGGCTGGAGTTCACGTCAATGGGAAGTGTGTACTTGTATTGCTGCATAAATGCTTAATGGCATCCTAACAGCCACACTTTTGCTCTGTGCAAAGGGCCTAAAGCTGTAGGGCAGAATCGTACTGAAGAAATTCAAGACCCTTAATGGCAGTAACTACTACAGGTTTTCAATAATTTTGGATATTTTCCTTCCAAAGACTAATCTCTATTTGCTCCCCAGTTAATGGTAACAATAGTGGACTTGAAATTTGAGAGGAATTGTATTTCCCAATTTTTTACTTTAGGAAAAAGTTTATGTTTAAGTGAAGAACTATCAATACTAAAAATGTGAAACTACGGAGGAGCCTCGTACATTTTTTCAGGACTATGAAATAAATGGATGACTTGGAGGCAACCTCCCACTGCAAATGGATCTCAAATGAGAAAAGCATTTATAGAACTTTGCTTTCTTTTGAAGTAGCTCTTTGGGATATTTTCCCCTCATCCCAGCATAAGACACTGTTAAAACAGAATTTTTTATTTTATTTTATCTGGTTAATTGTATAGCTGCCCATCTCACATATGTGACTATAAACAGAGAAGGGCAAAATATCTGCAGTCAAATCATCTTAACCCTTAAACTAACTTACATTCGGGAAAACAATAAAACACTTACCTTTCTATATATATTTTGAGGGAGTCCGGTGGGGTTAGCCTGTACTTTCAGTGTTTTGGTCTGCAGCCTTTCCAGTTTAGTATTAAACTGAATAAAAAAAGAATTAGTGTGTTGATAAAAATGTAAATGAGAGAAAAAGCTTCTTTGTAATGAATGCTATTTTAATAATGTACAAGCAACTCTTGGATATTTACATAACACAGGGAAAGGGGTTCCCATTTGACCATGAAGCGCAAATGGGTAAAATTGGCTCATTATCATCACCTGGCATTATCAATTTTAGAGAGCTGTTACAAAGATAATGTAAAAATAGAATTTTCCCAGAGTTTAATGCAGAAAAGCAAGTGTAATACATACAAAACCAATGTGATTAAGGGTAGCTTAATTGATTGGGTCATGTATTTGTTTACTGCTAAGAACTGAAGACTTTGTAGAAATGGTGAGCGAAAAGTGCGACTATAAGAACAAAGAAAGATATTAAGGCTGTAATTCTAATAAATTATCAACAATTATGGTATCAGCACAAACTCTTAAAGGCATGAATACATTTCTTTTAGTATAGAGCATAAAATAATAACTTTTATAAAGTTATAAAGTAAAATAATAACTCTATAATAACTTTTTGTTTACTACTTTCGGGGGGGGGAGAAAATGAATCAAAACATGAAACAAAAACATACTTTTGTTGCCATCTTAATGTTAAACTTATTTACTACCATTAACTGGATATCATCTGCACCCCAATGATATTTCATTCCAAACAGTAGATGACCATAACTCCTCCCTCAACAGGCCTTCATGGCAACTGTTTGGATCCATATCCCTGCTCCCCCACCAGAAAGGGCAGAGGTCAGGTATGCAAGTAAACAAAATAAAGTTATAGGGAACTATGTCAACTTCTTCAGAAGTCACTGGCTTAAAAACCTCCCAAGCAGCATTGCAGGATACTGTTCTGGTCATCTCACTGACTCTTGTCCACTCAGCTTCTAGTTAATCCTGAATCATGTTAATTTACAATTTGAGACCCAATAATCTATAGTGCAGGATTCAAGATACTGCACATGCAAATAAAGGAGGTTATGGACTAATAATTCTAAATATGCAAAATACTTTTTACAAACATAGAAACTGTATGTAATAATGAAAAAAGACTTTAACTGTCATTCTCAATCTTAAATAAGCACAAATCTCAATAGACTAGGAAGACACTATTCCTGAGGTATTTTCATCAATGTTCTGATCCCAAGTCAGTAAGAGAAAATATTCTTTGTGACAGCTCTGGCAAAAACGAATTTGAACTTAAAACGATGAAATATGAAAAATATAACATGAATGCATACTGAAATCATATCAATTTCTTCCTTAAAATGATTCCTTGTTAGGTAGTTCTTTTAATTTTGTAAAATGCAATGTTTTGGTTTTGATCCACAATTTATAATAAATTATCAATGTAGCATATATCTGACTGGTGTAACAGATGACATACCTCTATTTGTAATCTGATTATCTCATTCTGCTTTTCCTTTTCTTGAGCTTTCAGTTGTTTAGTTAGTTCTAAAATCTCTAGATCTTTCTTCTCCATTAGTTTCTTATGCTCTTCCATCTTGCTTTCAACTAAAGCAATTGTTCATATATACAAAATTAAAAATAATGAAGCAAAATAATTGCATTAATCAAATAGAATGATATACTTTATTATTTTAATGTCATCATAATTAAGAAAAATTGTGCACCATAACAAATTTCAGAAGTTTCAGTCTTCATTAATTCTTAAGTGGCCTTCATCAAGAGAGGCTTTGCAGAAGATGTTTCATAGCATTGGTATCATGCTATGAAACACATAGCATGGTATACATTCTGGCCTCAACCCCTTTCACTTCATAAAATTAGTTTCTTCTGGGAAAATTTCATACATTTTGGACAAATGAAGTCTATTAATAATAGTTGGTCCTCCAAGTATATTGGTAGTAAGCCATACAGGATTTTGAAAGTGGAAATTAGCACTTGGAATTGCATCTGGGAAATTATTGGGAACCAATGCAAAATAAGTGTAATAGTGATTAACAATAGTCAATAAGTAGGCCACTGCCCCTGTCTACAACACATTGAAGAAGTCTACCTGCATGGTGGTGAGGTTCTCTCACTCAAAAACGTGCTGCAGCTGATACATCCCAGGAGAAGCCGAGCAAAGCTTCTCCTATATATTATTTCCACTGGTCATTTAGCAATAATCAGAAGTCCAGAAGGACCTACAAACTGTGACCTACTTCCTCAAGGGTGATGCTACCCCTTAGGAAACAAGAATGGAATGAACAGAAAACTACACAGGGCAACCAGTAACTCCATTTTCCTAGGCTTCAACCTTAGCATCTTTCATACCATCCAGATTGCAGCAACATCCTGACATTGGAATAAGTGCCATCCATAGCTATGTTGCAGGTGGCAATATCAAGCTGAGTATATTAAATAAAGGGGAGCTAGGAGGAACATGAATAATTCCTTCAAATGGCAAGGGTCATATTTACTTCTCTGGAGTCAACAGACCAAATTAATCTCAAATAACAGAACTAAATGTTGCCACAATCATCAAATCAGACTCTGCACAGGAGAAGTCAAGGTTGATAAATTTGGGTGACTTAGTCAACAAAATGTTGAGTAAAATGATCAACAGTGGTCACTGGGGATTCTTCCATTCATCCTTCTTTAACAGGGAATTTATTATGTTAAACAAGGCTGATGATCAACAGCCTATTGAAGCAATAAGGGAGAAGTGAAACACTTTCCCATTGTTTTCAGCATACTATAAACCAGGGGTGTCAAATTCGCATCGTCACAGCATCGTCACATGACATATCAGGATTTTTTTCTTCTTCCTAAACTGGGAGGGGCGGGGCCAGCATGTGACGCATCTGGTCCATGGCCTGCGAGTTTGATACCCCTGCTATAAATTGACACTTGATCTTGTAATCTTGGTCAATCAAATTTACTTTTGACCTTTCTCTGTTTTACGTGTCATTTCTAATGCTTCGTTTTCATTTTCAATGCAGTCAAGCATACTTCTATAACAAAATTAGATTAAA